ATTGTTAAGCTGTCATTAATGTTAAGTGTTTTAAGTACGAGGTTTATAGGATTGCTATGTTTTGGGACTGTGTCTTTAATCTGGTCAAATGAAGATGGTATCTTGTGACTTATTCTGATTTTGACCTGAGTGGGTGAAGGTCGAGGCAATGGCATCTTGGCATTATTGCTGGACTGTTAATCTAGAGACCCTAATATTCTGGGGGCCAGTGTTCAAATCCTGCCATGGCAGATGCTGGAATTTCCATTCAAGAGAAAAATAATCTGGAATTAAGAATCTAATGATGACCATGAAAACATTGTCGTTTGCTATATAAACCTATCTGGTTCACTAATGTCCTTTGGGGAAGGAAGTCTGTCATCCTTACCTGGTCAGGTCTTCATGTGACTCCAGACCCACAGCAGTGTGGTTCACTCTTATCTGTCCCCTGGACAAGTAGCCAGCATTGCCCTCATCCCGCAAATGAACAAAAAAAAAGTGCCTGTTTGAGTTTAAAAGGAGACCCAGGCTGCTTTGCTGGGAACTTACATTTGGAGAAAATGGCTGTAGGATTCCTGCTTACAGCCTATTAGTCGGCAAAATCCTGGGATGGTGTGAGGAACATTGAATTTTAAACACCAGACAGAACTGAAGTCTGAACATCTTGATAATTCACCCTTCAGGAATGTGGTGGGAGCTTGTGTTCAGGTTGTGAAGACCAAGTTTGTGAGGATTTGAATTGAAGCTGGAAGATTCACTTAGCTCGCGCCAGAGGGAGAATCTCCAAGAAGACTCACATCATGAGAGATAGTTCTAGGATTAATAGTTACCAGGCTGAGAAAAGAAAATAATGGAAGTGAACCCTTGGGAGCTGAGAGCCTTTTTGGATTCGTTCTCAGAGATGTGGATGTCGATTTAAGAGATTGCATTAATTAGTGCGAGTATTTGGTTATGTTAAAAACAAAAGGAAAAATTTATATTCTGTGATTTAAATGTAAGTTATCTACAAAAAGGATGTTTATTAAATTGTGCTTTTAATCCGTTTGTTACAGTAAAAGTCTTAAACTGTGAAATGTTGTTATTGTTTTAAGTAGAAGTTTGAATGTTTTTAGTGTTATCAGTCTTTTTGGGTTTGTAACTGAAGTAGTGCTGAATCAGCTAGTGTGTATTGTATTGTTACTACACTGACAATGTGCTGCTAATGCAGCAAGGTGTCACTGAAAGTTTGAAGATCTGAATCACTTACAGAACAAAAAACTGCAGTGAGCGGATCATAATATTTAAAATATTTCACTAAGGAAGCATTTTTGCCTGGCTAAATATCAGTTGTGCTTAATTGGCTAACACTTGAACCTCTGAGACAGAATGTTTAAGGTTCAAATCACACTCCAAAACACAACCATTAAAATGACAGTTGACATTGCAATTATACTATCCTGTACAAGAAGTGCAAAAGGGTACTCCTTGCTATCCTGGTCACTACTAATCCATCAACATTTGAATAGTAGATTACTTGGTAGTCATCACACTGCTGCACATTAGCTACTCTATGTCCAACATTACAACAGCAGTGTCTCTTCGAAAGTATCTCATTTGCTGTAAAGAACGTAGGGCCATCCTTTTGTCATCAAAGGAATTATATAACCTACTTACAAAGTGAATGTCAAAGTCCCTCTCTGCATTGCTGTCACCAATCACTCTGTCACATAGTCAGTGCCAAGCATTCCAGCATTGGATAAGGCTGAAGCATTTGCAGCAATCTTCAGCCAGAAGTTCTGAGTGGATGACCCATCTTGGCCTCCTCCAGTGGTCCCCAGCATCACAGATACTAGTCTTCAGCCAATTCGATTCACTCCACGTGATATCAAGTAACAGCTAGAGGCACTGGATACTGCAAAAGCTATGGGCCATGACAATATTCCAGCAATAAAACTGAAGACTTGTTCTCCAGAACTGCCGCACTCCTGTTCCAGTACAGCTACAATGCTGGCATTTACGTGACAATGTGGAAAACTCCCCAGGTATGTACTGTACATAGAAAGCAGGATAAATCAAACTCAGGCAGTTACTGCCCCTTCAATTCACTCTCAATTATAAGTAAAGTGATGGAAGGTGTCAGTAACAGTGTTATCAAGCAGCACCTGCTCAGCAATAACCTGCTCAGTGACGCCCAGTTTGGGTTCCGCCAGGGCTGCTCAACTCATGATAACAACCTTCTCAAGGACAGCTGGGGACAAGCAAAAATATGTTGACCCTACCAGCATTGCCCACATCCTATTAGCGTAGCAAATAAAAACCACCACCCTCCCCACTCCTTCATTGAAGAAACACTGATTTACTTTAACTACTTGGATCTGAACATCCATTAGTACTTTTGTAAATGACACAAAAATTGGTAGCACTGTTGATAGTGAAGAGGATGGTCTCAGGCTACAGTCTGGTGTTGATCAGCTGGTAAATTGGGTAGAGCAATGGCAGATGGAATTCAATCCTGATAAGTGCAAGGTGATGCATTTTTGGAGATCAAATCAGGGAAGGATATACACAATGAATGGTAAATCCTTACTAAGCACTGAGGAAAGAAAGGGACCTTTGTGTTTGAGTCCATAGATCCCTGAAGGTGTCAGCACAGGTAGGCAGGGTGGTGAAGGTAGCACACAGGATGCTTGCCTTCATTAGCCAGACAGAGAATATAGGATCAAGGAAGTCTGGTTACCACTTTATAACACATTGGTTAGGCCACGGATGGAATAGTGTGTGCATTTCTGGTCACCACATTATTGGAAGGACATGACTGCAATGGAGAGGGTGCAGAGGTGATTCACCAGGGTGTTGCCTTGGATGAAAAGTCTCCGTTGTGAGGAGAGACTGGGCAGGCTGGGTATGTTTTCGTTGGAGCAGAGGAGGCTGAGGGAGATCTGACTGGGGTATACAAAATTATGAGAAGCATAGACAAGGTAGATTGTGAAAATCTTTTCCCATGGCTGCTCTGTGTGAGACAAGAGCCTATAATTTTAAATTGAGGAATGAGTGGCTTAGAGATGATCTGAGAAGTAACTTTTTTACACCCAGACTGTGGTAAAAATATGGAATGTGCTGCCTGAGAGGGTGGTGGAGGTAGATATTCTCACAATATTTAAGAAGCATCTGGATGACCTCTTATAATGCCAGGACATAATAAGCTATGGATCAAGTGCAGGTAAATGGGATTAGTGTAGTATGGTGTTTGTTGCCAGTATAGACATGGTGGGCCGAAGGACCTGTTTCTGTGCGGTATAACTCTATAACAAAGAAGGAGCCTCTTAGAATTAACCAAAACCTGATGCCCAGGAGAGTAAGAGGTATGGGAACATGTATATTCCAGTACTAACCAAGGCAATTGTTACTTCTGATTAATTTGTGTAACTGGATTCCTCTTTTGAAGACAGAATAATAATTTTAAAGTGAAATCAATAATGAATATTCAAGTGCAATATTTGCAATCAATAGTGCAATTTTGACTCAACTTGCGATATTTTTCCAAAAAAAATTCCTCCAAAGCTTGCCCTTATCGACCATCTGGATTAGGAAAAGAATCCCATTTCTAATGATAGGAAATTCTCTTTTAAAAGCAGCTTTTCAAAATGCCTTTATTAAATGCAATTTCATCATTGATAAAACAGTTTATTTTAATTAATGTTAGCATATTGTAACATAAGTAAGTTGAACTTACTGAAGCACAGTGTTAATCTTTCAGTTAAACCTGATGTTATCAACAAGACTCAATTCTGTTTCATTTTACTTTCATCTTTTAGTGAGCATGGCATTTTAAAATCTAATTTTGTATCACAAATGAGTCTTTGTAAAGCTTTGATAAAGTATCTAAAATGAGTCTAATACTACCTGAATCTGTGACATAAGCAGAAATCCCACCTCTTCCTGTTTCCCTGACCCCGGGATCTCAAGAAATGAAATCAGATAACATAAAACTTCAAAAGAAGTTTCGAATGAAAGAATGTTATTAAATTTGATATGTATCATATTTTGCAGCCATTATAAACTGCAATAATACTCAGAGCAGATAATCTCACAATGTAGCTGTTCTTGTATAATGTTGGATATGGAAAATGAAACATTTGTTGGGCGCTCTGACTATGACACAGATCTAATTATAATTATCTCAGTACAAGATTCTGTGTTTTATTTGGGAGGACTGAAAGGCATGATGTTAATGTTGGGATCTCAGGACAGAATGGAACACATGGTTTCACAGCTTTATTCACTCACAGGATGTAGGGTGTTTCTGGCTAGGTCCAGCATTTGTTGCCTGTCCCTAGTTGCCCTTGAGAAAGTGATGGTGAGCTGCTTTCTTGAACCACTGCAGTCCATGTGCTGTAGGTTAACCCACAATGCCCTTAGGGAGGGTATTCCAGGACTTTTATACAGCAACAGTGATATATTTCCAAGTCAGGATGGTGAGTGGCTTGGTGGTGGTGGTGTTCCCATGTATCTGTAGCCTTTGTCCTTCTATATAGAATTGCTTGTGGGTTTGGAAAGTGCTTTCTGAGGATCTTTTGTGAACTTCTGTAGTGCATCTTTTAGATAGTACACACTGCTGCTACTGCGTTGGTGAAGGGAGTGGATGTTTGTGGATGTAGTGCCAGTCAAGCAGGCTGCTTTGTCCTGGATGGTGTCAAGCTTCTGGAAGGTTATTGGAGCTGCACCCATCCAAGCAAGTGGGATGTCTTGCATCTCACTCATGACTTGTGCCTCATTGATGGTGGACAGGCTTTGGGGAGTCAGGAGGTAAGTTACTCACTACAGGATTCCTAGTTTCTGACCTGCTCTTGTAGCTGTGACATTGTTAGTTACTAATATTATTACAGTAGTTTGATTCCTTTGAACACTGCTTCAATGTGATTACAGTTACAATGACAATGAGTATAACTCAACAGAGCATTTAATGTAACCAGTGGTTGGGCAGCACACCAGCACTGAATCGATGAAGCTTTTCATTCTGATCAACTTCTTGGTTTACTTACCAACCAAAATCGAAGTGGTCAGCAGCCTGGGATCATAGGGGCTTTTCCCTCGTCCATTCTCAAAGTGTGAGGTCTCGAGTCTGAATACATTTTCCTAGTTGCATAAAGATACAATGATTATTACACTCTGTTTGAGCACGAACATTTCTAAAGAAGGGTCCTGACCCAAAACATCTACTTTCCTGCTCCACTGATGCTGCCTGGCCTGCTGTGTTCCTCCAGCTCCACACTGTTATTACACTCTGTATCTTCATTGAACCAATTAAGAATCATGATCATAATTGAAAAAGATTAATGAGAGAATTATCAATGTAGTAATGATGTTTTAAAATAATTTTACGAAACAAGAACATTTTACGGCATTTTTTCAAGTTTGTATCTTTTATTAATTCAAATCGGTCTCTATTGCAAAGGTTTTTGTATGCATTCAGATATTTATTCCCTCTAAATGCAGGGAAGTCAGTTTGCACATTAATATAACAGTCAAGGCTTTTAGTGCGAGAATTGTAAATTATAGGCAATCTGTAAAGATGTATAACTCGAAAACAGTTGATGTTCTGATGCATAGCTACTTCATAGAAACTGTCAGGTAGAAATGTACTCCGTGATCTTATCTCAGGAATGTCTAACAACATCACATCACATAAAATAAATGTGTTCAATTTAGACCTTAAGCCTCTTCCATCATCCAATGACATCATAAACTGATGGGCAATTAAATGTCTTGCCTTTGCCCCATATCCTTTAAAACCATTGGCTAACAAAAATCTATCAATTTCACACGTAAATTAACAATTGATCCAGCATCAACTGCTATTTGCAGGAAAGAATTGCAAAATTCTGCCTGCATTTGTTTGTAGAATTGTTTCTTACTTCAATCCAGAAAGACCAGATAACAATTTTTAAATATTCCTCTTGTGGATTTCTGAAGCAGAGGAAATAGAAAAAAAAACTATCTGCCATACCTGTGCTTTTTGATGTTTTGAAAACATTGATCAAATCACATCTTAACTTCCTAAATTCCAAGAAATTGAATTCCAGTGTGTGAATTAATTCTTGGAGTCCAGTTATCAGTCTGGTGAATCTATGCTGTACTGTCTCCAGGGCAGCCTGAGGTGTGACACCCAGAACTGCTCCCAATCATTCAGCTGTCATCTAACAAGGGTTTTCATTTGTCAAAGGTTAACTTCACAGAATGACAGAATCGCAGAAATGTTACAATGCAAACAGAGGCCACGTGGCCCATCATGCCTCTACCAGCTTGGTACAGGAGCGTCATTACCGGGTGTTAGTCTATTGTTTTTTCCACATGCACTTGCACATTATTTTTTATCCAAATACTCATACAGTGACATGTTAAATGCCTTGATTGAACTTGCCTCCACCACATTTCCAGGCATTGTAAAACTACGCTGAGTGAAAATGATGTTTTCTTGTTTCACCCACAACCCTGTTGCAGCTCACTTCATATTTGTGCCATCTTGTTCTTTATCCTTTTTACAAACAGGACTGTTCCTCCCTATCTACTCTGTCCGGCACACTCATGATTTTGCAAACCCCTATCCAATCTTACCTTAACCTTCTTCTATACAAAGAGAACAGTCCCAACTTTTCAATCTATCATTATAGCTGAAGTTCCTCATTCCTGGAATGATTCTTGTAAATTATTTCCAATCTTCATAAATTTCTTATAATGTGGTGTCCAGAACTTCATTTCCATTTTGGAAAGTCAAATCAAGGTAGAGTTTCATGGTGAATGGTAGGGCCTTAAGGATTGCAGTGGAACAGAGAGACCTTGGAGTTCAGGTGCACGGTTCTCTGAAAGTGGAGTCACAGGTAAAAAGGGAAGCAAAGAAAGCTTTTGGCACACTGGCCTTCATCAGTCTGGGTATTGGATGTAGAAGTTGGGAAGTTATGTTGCAGTTGTATAGGTCTTTGGTGAGGCCGCACTTGGAGTATTGTGTTCAGTTTTGGTCACCTTGCTATAGGAAGGATGTTATTAAACTGGAAAGAGTGCAGAAGAAATTTACAAGGATGTTGCCAGGACTCAAGGGAATAAGTTATAGGCAGAGGTTGGATAAGCTAGGAATGTTTTCTATAGAGCATAGGAGACTGAGGGGGGATCTTATAGAAGTGTATAAGATCATGACAGGCATGGATGGGGTGAATGCACTCAGTCTTTTTCCCAGGGTTGGGGAATTGAGGGTTGGAGGGCATCAGTTTAGGGTAAAAGAGGAAAGAATACACGGGAACCTGAGGGGCAACTTTTTTACACAGAGGGTAGTACGCATATGAAATGAGCTGCCAGCAGAAGTGGTTGGGGCAGGTACATTAACAACATTTAAAAGGCATTTGGACAAATACATGGATAGGAAAGGTTTAGAAGGATATGGGCCAAGAGCAGGGAAATGGGGTTAGCATGGATGGACTATTTGGTTGGCATGGACCAGTTTGGGCCGAAAGGTCTGTCTCCATGCTGTAGGACTCTATGACTCTATGACTCCCTCCAGCCTGAACATTATCCATTGACCATGAATCCCTGTTTCCTAACACTCAGCCAATTTTGTATCCACATTGCTACTGTCCCTCTTACTCAATGACCGATAACTTTCCTCACAAGTGTGTTATGTGGCGCTGTATCAAACACTTTCTGGAAATTGATGTAAGCCACATCAACAGCGTTACCTTCATTGAGTCTGTTTCCTCATCAGAAAAACTCTAGGAAGTTAGATAAAAGGATTTCTGAAGGGGAAATCAATGCTAACCCTTCCTATTCAACTTACCTTTTCCATATAACTACTAATTCTATTCTGAATAATCGTTTCTAGAAGCTTCCGCACCACTGTAGTTAAAGTGACTGGTCTGTAATTGCTGGTATTATCCCTACAACCTTTCTAGAACAGAAACGTAATGTTTTCAATTCTTCAGTCTTCTAGCACTCCCCCCAAGTCTGGCGAAGACTGAAAGATTGTGGCCAGTCCGTCTGCAATTTCCATTCTCTCTTCCTTCAAAATCCTTGGATGCATCTCATCCAGTCACAGGCAACATTTCTGCCTTATCAGTTTTGAACCTTTCCGGTGACTGAGTTCCCTATGGGGTCACTGTGGTCTAGGTTATATCTGTCTCTGGTACAGACAGGTGCAATGTGTTAATTTAACACCTCAGCCATAACCGCTGCCTCCAGGTTGACGCCAGTCTTATATCCCATTGTACTCCAGTCTTCTGGATATAAAGTTAAGCATCTCAGTCGATATTTTATTCTCTGTAGCTCTCCATGATATTATGGTGACTTGTGTACTGGTACATTTAAGTTTCTATGGGCCTCCACAGCTTTTCATCATTTACAATTCTAAATTTTAGTTCCAAAGTGAATGACCTGACATTTGTCTGCAATAAAATCCACCTGTCACCATCCTGCACATTTGTTTAATCCTTTAATACACTTTATGCTTTTTTCCTACTCTATTTCCAATGTCAACTTATCTTTGTATCATTAGTAAAATTGAATGTGCATCTATTGACTCTATCAAGCAATTCATTAATAAATTTGCTGATGGCTCAAAACAGGTCTGTTTAGGTTTGCAGGACTAGTTTTATCCTGCCACTTAAACTATTTATTCATGATTCCCACTCTCTGACTTCTGCAGTTTAACCAATTTACTAATTTGTTCAATAATTTGCCACCAGTTTCATTAGCTTCATATTTAACTAACAACATCTTCTGGGCATTTCATCAAATGTCTTCTGGACATTCTTATAAATAATATTCATAGACAGTCCGTTGTTCACTACTTCAGTCACGTCTTCAATTGGCTCTACCAGACATGATCTACCTTCAACAAATTCATACTGAGTCTCTGCTCAATTGAAAACGTTAAAGGTTTTCAGTTTGTTTACACCTTATACCAAACTTATTAAAATCTAATATTTCTATTTCTCAACAGATAACATCAGTTGTAGTTAGACACATTTACAATTGAATAATACAATGACTCAGATGAAAGAGCAAGACCAGAACTGTGGTTAAAGTCCAACTTCGATAATGTACATTGAACTTATCGTCTTTGTAAATGTGATTGCGATTGTGTAATTAGAGGAGCTAGAAAAAATTAGGTCTCAAACTGATAGTAACAAAAAAAAGACAAAACAAAATAACCTCAAAAGAGAAAGATGACTTTCCTCTTCACTCTTTTTAGAGAAAGTATTATTTGACAAATGATGGACAAAGGAACTTTCCAAAAACATTTATTTTCCGATGTAAAAAATACTTCTTTTGAATCAGGAACGTAATCCTTTTGAGGGAATTCTAATTATATCCACAGGCTACCCTTCCTTCAATGATATCATTAAAATCACTAAAGACGTTACCAGCATTTCCCCTTAGATAGCATCACTCTCTCCATTTTCCATCTCTTTAATCAATGCCCTTGTCACTGAGATTAGCTCAATTATCCTTTCCCTTCCCCATTTAATTACTCCAGTTCTACGTAAGTACAATTGTTGTCACAAGTTCCGTAGTATTGGAGACATCTGCATGTGTAACAGCGTTATTTCATGAATGGAAAATTAATTCTTCTTGTATATGTGCCAGATGAGGCTGTGCTGTGTATTTTGGAAACAAATACATTTGAGAATGCCTCACCCTGAATTAAGTACTTCAATAGTGGTTATTGCAAATGATTCAGCCAGCTCTATAATGGAATGGGAAACATGAACTAATTATAACACGCATTTTTACCTTGAGTTTAATTAGCTCTCTATCCCTTATTCCAGCACCAAAGCTGTCAGATCATTTACTGTAGACTAATTAGAGCTCCCGATATGTCATCCATTGTGATGACAGAAAGAGCTATGGCTAGGCAGAGCACAGTATTGTAAATGAGACTACAAAAGCTGCTCATTCAAAAAGGAAAGTGACTGCAAAGGAATATCATTAAAGATATTGACATAAATTAATCTACTATTTATGAAAAACACAGTAAGATGACTTTAGAATTTATCAATGGATGTCAGAAAACCTAAGACCTAACTATATTGCAGTTTTATAAAAGTAGGGATACATATTCTTTATTGCCACTGGAGACATAAGATAGA